AAGGCATATTCATCCTGAAAAGTGACCGTATCGTATGCGTTACACTCCGGTGGTGTTATTGGAGCGTATTTTTTTGAAAACGCTCAAGGAAGATTTACAAGAGTCAATTCTGAGCGGTATGGACGCATGTTAGCCCATTGTTTTTGGAGAGAAATTGAAGATTATGATCTGGAAGTCATGTGGATCCAGCAGGTTGGGGCCACGAGTCACACAACACCGGCAGTTAGAGCCCTATTGCAAGATAAATTTCCAGGACGCGTAACTTCGAGATTGAGTGATGTCAATTGGCCGGCAAGATCATGGGACTTCACACCGTTAGATTTCTATTGGTGGGGCTATGCGAAAGATCGTGCTTACGCCAACAATCCTTAAAATCTTGCGCAACTGAAAGCCAATATCCCTGGTATTACCCGTAATGTGTCGAAAGGTTTAATCTTTATATTGAATCAAAATTTTCGTCTCCATCATATTATCAAGCAATATTCCTAGATTTGACTAAAGCATACGACACACTAAATTATGAAATATTATCTAAAACGTAAAATTTATATGGAAGACGCGGGAAAGCATTGGATTGAATAAAGTCATACTTGGCAGAGCGAACCAAGAGAGTTGTAATCAGTTCGGGCAATGATAGAACATTTTCTGGATCAGAAAATATCACCGTAGGTGTTCCTTAGGACAGTGTTTTAGGTCCATTGTTGTTTGTGCTGTATGTTTGTGTTGTGTCGCAATAAGGATAGTAAGCGGCTGTATCTTGGAAAGTATGTGTTGTAGAGTGATCGAAAAAAAAAAGTTTTTCAAATTTTTTTTCATCACACTACAACACATATTTTCCAAGATACAGCCGCTTACCATCCTTATTGCGACACCCTGTATAAATGATTTAAGTGAAATAATTGCATACAGAGAGAAGTGCTGTGTCACGAAATATGTGGACGACACCCATATTGTTCTTGCTTATAAGAAAAACATAAATATTGATAACGATGTACATCATTTTATAGCTGAAGTAAATAATTGGTTTACAAAAAATAAATTAATTCTTAATAATGCCAACACGAATGTTATCATTTTCAAAACAACACATTCCAGAATAGTGGAACCAAACAGTACAGAAATAAATAAGCCCAATGAAAAACCTCAAAGCAATGTGCAATTTCTAGGGATATTAATCGATGATATTCTATCCTGGAATGGACAAATACAGTATTTAGTCAGTAAACTTGACAAAGTGTGTTATACGATAAGAATAATTAATAAATATGTTAATGTGGATATCATAAAAACTTTATACTTTGCAAGTTTTGAATCATTAATCAGGTACGGTCTCATAATTTAGATTTAGGTAATTTATAATTTAGGTAGATTGTCGAGATCTTAATAGAATATTTGTGTTTCAAACAAGGGTATTACTATTGAAAATAATAAGGTAAGAATTATTGAAAATCGTGTAGAAGAAAGTTTAGAGAAATGGGATTTCTGACAATTTTTGGCATTTATACTCAGGAATGTACATGGTTTTTGTTTGTAAATAGAAATCTATTTGAGAAAAATTTGCCATAGACAAGGTATCCAACCAGAGCTTTATATTACATACAGGGTGGTTTTTTAGTGCGATAGAGTCCATGATTTCCGATGGTGTTGTTAAACTTTAGAAAAATAGTTTCATATAAAAGTTGTTGACGCATAAAGTGCGCACATTTTAAAAAATATCTTATATGATTCAGAGTGTCTCAGAAAAGCGATGCAAGATCCAAGTGTATTGTTTTAAATAGAACTATCCATTTTTCATCAGCTCATGGAATGCAGCTTGAAACGCTGCATATGCATGTTCGAGTTTTGCGTTCTTTTTAATTTCCAATTAAAGAACACACACAATTATACACACTAAAGCAGTTTAAGTGCAGAAAAATGCGGTCGTCTATCAATTTGCAGAAAAATTTATTACAAACTTTTGAAAATCATCTTCAAGCGACCGGGTATTTAGCATTGCAAATGAGATTGCCCATTGCTGGGTACCGATAATTCGACACACAAAATTGTGTCTAAGATCCACTACCATAAAGTTTTTGAAAAACTGTTGCACCTATTTTAAATCGCCTGATTGATTGCGGACGCAAATTCGTATCAAGAAAAGATTAAATTAAATTAAATCGTATCGATAGGATCCCGGTACCGATTCCCTATGTCTTACTATCCGTCTGTAGTCCAGATGCTGCCCTAATGATATCCTTTTGCATTGTATTGCACGATTCAAGTTCCGATCTCGTAAAATATTACTACCTACTTGTTTAGTGATTTGATTGATTGATTTAGTGACAATTGTTAAACCAGATGTTGAGCGGATATTTTTTAAAGAAGCCATGGTCAATTTATGAAAAACGCTAAAGATTAAGTGCAAATAAAGTGATAACTATTATTAATAATTTTTAATGCAATAATATGTTCTAATATTTGTTATTTTATTTCGTAACAACAAATAATCAATATTTAGATATATATTATGCAATCTTTCATACTTAACATAAAATGATAAACATCATTACTGTTTTGTAATAATATATAATAAATATGTTTTGAATTTAATTGAAAACATATTTGAGTTTACCTCGGTTATTTCAGAAAACATGGGTTCCGTCTTCTTATTWTCTATCACGCAACGCATTCTTGATTTTAAGACGATACGAATCTCTCTTCAGCTTATAGTTGCAAAATATGTAAAACGAATTTATTAGGGCTTATTTTCAATGATTAATTGTGTTTACCACGCATCTATAATTTTTTTTCCTTCATATACCCTTTGATTCCTTTATGATTAAACCTTTTCAATTAAGTTTAATTTTTTTAGTCCTGGATTAGTACATATAGTGTGTCAAGTGTAACCTGTCTCTATAGCTCTTCCTCGTTTTACCGTATATTTTAAACAGATAGAACGTCTTCAAATCACCAAAATTAAT